GGATGCTTATCCTCCATCTTGGCTGCCACTTCCCAATTTGCATCACTTAGGTTCTCACCCCCTGTTATCCATAATCTGAGTCTACTTTCAAATGTTGTTGAAGGACAGTTGATGTCAGAATTATGTTGTGAGAACAGTGCAATCCAAGTCCACGTCAACCAAGGACAGTTGATGTCAGAATTATGTTGTGAGACAGTGCAATCCAAGTCCACGTCAACCAGATGACTGTTCTCCATCTCCACCCCTGTTAGGCAGAATTGTTTCCATTGCATAGTCCCTCTTCAAAAAAAGGTGTTTAGGCAGAGAAGTAATAGCAGTGAAGCTTTTATAAAGGAGTATTTACAGGCCTAGAGCTTTGCTTCTCCTGAAGCATCTTGCTAAGTAAATCCCACAAGATGTTACAGCTGTGAGATAATTACTAATGATTTTAAAACTAAATAAATAGAGCAAATCATTGTGAAAGTAAAAAACATGCAACAAGAGTGCTACTAATGATCACTACTAAACAGCAATAATAAGAACTTTGGTGTTCAGCTGTAAAGCTTTCTTTAAGTCTCTGATAATTTACAAAGCTGATATAAAATTAAACTTTTCAGATACGGCCTATTAGTTGGGATCAGGACAATGTGCAACACATACAAAAAGTGAAACAGTTAAAACAAAGTATTTGTTGTCATTTTGCATTTTATGTCAAAGTCCATCTCTAAGGAGGTATTACAACTCCAACTTTCCTAATTATTTAAAGGTTAAAGTACAGACACTCAACAGATTTTCTTAGACTTCATACTTACAAGAGAGAGCCATAATTCTGTCATATCTTTCTTTACTATCCCCTTAGTACTGATAATGGGGCAGGGGGACACCCAGCAACACTTAATTCTATAAAGAAACACTGAGATTACGATTAGCCTCAAAATCTGTAAAATAAAATCCAAGCAAGCCAGCTTAATTGTAGCTGTTTTACCTCCATCTTGACTAACAAATAATTTTTGGTTAATAAATCTGAAAGTTGGCTGTAACTTAACACAAAAAATTAGTCTTCAGTCCTCCCAGTGCTCAGTTACTGAGATGAATACTGGCATTCCCTATTGTATGAATGTCTTAAAAAAGCAAAATGTCAAAGCTATAAGAATATTTAGACTGTGTATGTTTTAGTAAAGTATTAATCTTTATAAAAATCTGTCGTTAGCTAATGTTGCAAGTATAATCATAACATTGCCTTCTGTAGGTCTTTCACTAAAAAATATATTTTTTATTAAATCATAAACTATTACAAATTAGTGAAGTACTATAAAGTACTGTGCATATAAAAGAAAACAGAATCTGAGGCAAAAAAGTACCAGATAAAGTGATACTGAAACATTTAAAGTCACAGAATCACAGAAATGTTACAGATGGAAAAGACCTCTAAGATCATTGAGTCCAACCATCCCCCCAGTAATAAAAAACAAACAAAACCCAACAAATCACCAAACAAACAACAATACAACACCCACCATATCCACTACAGCATGTTCTGAAGTGCCACGTCTACAATTTTTTTAAATAACTCCAGAGATGGTGACTCCACCACCTCCCTGGCAGCCTATTCCAGTGCAGTCTTAAAGTACAATGAGGATTTCCAGTGTGTTCCGTGATCATATAAAAGAAAAGTTCAGTGAAGACATTTTGAAATGCCATGTTGGAATTAATTTGGTTTAAGTAGAGATCAAACCACATGTGCTTGGGACTAGTAATGGAATTTTTCATTATCATTTTTCTGACTACAGCCCAATTCAATTTCAGCATATACTTAAATTTAGGCACATAAATGCTTTTTTTGTATTCCAAGTATGGACATGTGTACTGAACTGCTTCCTGATTGAGTTGTCAGTTTTGGAAACAATAAAACTGCTTTTCTCCAAAGGTATTAAATAGTAACATTTGCTCCCATTCACATTTAGAAATATACATAGAGAAATATCTACCTAGCAAACTAGAAGTATCATGGATAGGGATGAATTTGTATGAAAATCAACTGATATTGAGGCAATTCCTGGGAAATCTTATAGTAGTTGATACTTTTATCCACTTTCTCACTAAAAGTGGACACATGAAAATGGATCAGGTGGCTTCTTCTGAATTAAAAAACTAGATGGTGATGCAGAGCTGCTCCCAAGAAAAATGCTCGGTTTGGTCAAGTAGAAGGGATGCCTGTCATGCCGCCTTTTCCCAGAGCACTGATACCTTCTCACAACTCAACAAAGGCATCACAAGCCACAGAACAACAGATAAAAAGCACATGTCAGGCAAAAGGTAGCCAAGAAAATGAAGCTCTGGGCTGATTTTCCACAGCCACCACTGCTGGCATCTCCATACCAGCTGGAGGCAGAATAATGGTGACACCCCAGCGGGGAGAAGGACAGGACTGGTGCAGCACCATTTGGCCTTTAGGCCTGGGAATCAAACTTGAACACATGGGACTACCCATACTTCTTTCTCCAACTCAGGTGGGAGGTAAATCCAACTAATCATCAGCATTGCACACATTTATAAAAGAGTCAGAGAAAATTTATATATATTTTTTTTTAATAGAAGAGAGACTATCATGATATAAAGTCATGCCAAGAGGCCTTAGGAGAAGTTTAGCTTTGCTCAGTTTGGAGTGATTCTTCTGAAAACCAGAAAAAGTCTCCTCAGGGATCCTACCAAGCGCACTCTTTC